CCGCCGCCGCCTCCTCACCCACGGTCCCCAGGCAATGCAACACAGTTGTTGATTGGTCACCACATGGGGCAACTGGCGCGGGCCTCAAATCCTAGCCAATCAAAACGCAGCTTTCAAAAGAACGGCAATGAAAGAGCCCAGAAGCCACTGGAGAGGAAGCGTTGGCCTACGTCGCTGCCGCGACTGAAGCAGAGGGCGGGAAAAGGCGGGAGGCGGAGCGCATACTGATTGGGTAGCGCCCGCGCGCCCGCTCCCGTAGAGTCTAATAAGAAAAAAGGAGTGAAGACTTGAACCAATCAGCGACTAGATCTCAGAATGAGCGTCGCCCCTCCCCACCGGGCCTTCTCTGTGAAGTCCTTTCACTAAATTACTGTCTTCGTAATATATATTGTGATTGGTCTAAATCTCCCGCCCCTAGATGAGACCAACTAGGACCAATTAAGCGCAGGATTTAGCAGAGGTTCCGCCTTTCTCCGTTGCCTTTAAGAAACTGGAAAGAGATTAAAAGACGAAAGACCCGCCCCTTGCCGTTAGGGCGGTTTCAAAACAACCTGTTCACCAATCGCAGTTACTGTTTTATTTCACTAAAGCCAATAATTATAAATGGATTGCTTTAAGAACAGCTAACCAGATTGGCTGTTTTTGAGAGGCCGGCTACAAGAGTCTCGCTGTGGAGGGAGGCGTACGCAAAGATTAAATGGACAGATTATTCTTAGTCGGCAATGGACTCAGTTCCCTTTATGAAAAACAACATATTTACTTCCGAGAATTCAGAAAATTTGAAAAGAGAGACTACATTAACGAGATTAAAGTCGTAAAGGAAACTGCATCTCCTCCCTGTAGGTAGTATATCTCACAGGGTCCCTCTTTCCTCGACAGTTGTCGCGGCCTTCTTCTCTATGGTTGACACTTTACAAGGAATGGGCGCTCTATCATCGACCATAGAGTCGTCCCTTCCGGAAGGACCTCCAAAAATTTTCAGCTTTTACCCCGAATCCTCTACGCTCCTGTTCAGTAAAACTGTCTATTTAGCGACTATACCGATAATCTCAAACACGTAGATCTCTTATTAAACCCTAAATTAACAAACAAACGCCACAGTTTCACAATGTCGGCTCTACTGTACCACCTGTCGCCTCTAACTCAAAATTGACACGAAATGTCCTTAGATACACAATCGGGATACACAATGTAAACGCTTACTGCCCACCATAAGTCTACAAAAAGCAGCACACACTTTCAACTTTG